TGCCATGCTGCCCTGCCTCGCAGCCAGCTGGGAATGGGAATGAAAGCTTTACAGACCATGAGCCAAAACAACCTCTCCTCCCTTAAATCACAAATCTCAGGTATGGAGAGTGAGTAAGACACTGTCTATCTATAGAAGTATTTACTGTGCTATATATACTTTCATACTTTCTCTTTGGGATAGAAATATTTCTCATGCTTTCTCTAGAAAACACTGAATCCTTAATTAGGCAATATTTAAAATCTCATGCATTCCCTAAATACATATTGATCGAGTAGTGAAACAGGTATAACTACACAGAGATGTTCTATGATTCAAATTGTGTTATGGACAGTCTGTACATAATTATTCAAGACAGAGGTATAGAAATGTTATGATAATACATTCACTCTTAAAATTATTGATACTGATACATGTATTTTTAGTTTTCAGCTATGGTTACTGCCTTGTAACTCCCTCCCAAGGAAGGTCATGAAACTTAAGAGTGTTTTTTCACCAAGGTGGACCATAGAAGCTCTCATCTTACCAACCATTTTATCTGAGAGCTGGTCATAAAGAAATTCTCTGACCAACCTTATGTCGTAGATGGTAACAATCCTCATTTCAGAAGGAGACCCGCTTCATGCCCATGAGGAATGCGTGCTGCAGAGAGGCCAGGCAGGCCTTGCTGGGTTCCCACTAAGCCCATCAGCTTTGGATCACGCCTCCTCCGTCTCGTCCAAGTAGCTGTCCAAGCTTCAATCATACCTATGCCAGGAGCCCCCATAAGAAGCCAGGGCAGCCTTCAGAGAGCTCCTCGACAGTGGGATGTGTGCACATTCCTGGAGGATATCACAAAAGTTCTATGCCCCTTCCTCCATACCTTTCCTATGCATCTCTTCATCTGAAAGTTATAATGTTCTTTAGAATAAGACAGTAAACAGAAGGGAATGTTGCCCTGACTCCTGTAAGCCACTCATGCAAATTAGTAAAACTAGAGGATGTGGCTGAAGGAACCCCAAGTTATACCTGGTTGGCTGGAAGCACAGGTAAAACCACCTGGGAGATGCGCCTGCCTTTCTTGGGGACCTGGGCCTATCTCCAGGTAGACAGCATCAAAACTAAACTGGACAACCCTGAGCTGGAATCTGCTGCAGAACAGATCACTTGCCTGCTGGTGAGAAGCAGTCCCCTCACCCCTTGCTTTTCTCATACAATTAAGCATTAAGCTAATGTGAAAATGTACTTGTTTCCTCCAAGTAAATACTAGCTTGCCTTGGGGAAAGGTAGTTATGAAAGAAACACCCCAAAAGGGAGAACATAACTGTAAGGACAGGTGGGACTTTCATTTGGAAATTATCGACAGAGCGCAGCCTTATCTAAGATTTTGCAGAAGTGAATGGCAGCCAAACTAATTTAGAAACCATTCTTATGCCTTAGTGAAAAGCACTTACCTGGCTGTTTCATGAAAAATGTTGATAATTAAGAACCACTTTCTCATAAGTATGTCAGCAATTCAGCATACATAATGACTATTTCATGAGAGCTGTTCTTTGAGTGGTTTTGCTTTTCTGGTTTGGGGTTTTAGTTTCCATTTTTAATACTCACTGTGTATATTAGGCTCTGTGGAAAATGTTGTCTACAATCATGTTAGCTTTCTGTCACTTTGACAAAATGCCTGAGAAACTTAAAGGAGAAAAGGTTTATTTTGACTCCTTCTTTCAATCCATCTCTTGTTGGCTGCATTAATTTTGGGCTGTGGTGCGCACAGCATGATGGTGGGGGTGTGTGGCCGAGCAAATCAGCCACCTCACGGCAGCCAGGAGGCATCAGGGAAGTAAGGAAGGGGCTGAGACAAGATCTGCCCTTTCAGGACAGCCTCTTTGACCTACCTCTGCCTCGGCTTCTGTCACCTCACAACATCCTCTGAACTCATCTGTGGAATCACTGGAATAATAATCCAGGCAGAGCTCTTAAGATACAAACCTGCCCCATAGTCCCATCTCTGAACACACCTGCAAGCCACAAGCCTTGTGAGGAACATTTCAGACGCACATGTAACATGATTTTGAAGAGTAGATCTGATCACTCCCATTTTTCAAAAGTAAATGAAGCCTGGAGAAGTGAGGTAACATACTCACTATTAAGTCCTGGAGCCAAGATTCACACTTGGGTTTGACTACAACATGTAAGCAACAACCTTACCCCACCTCACAACTTTGCTAACATAAACACCACTTATGTAATATTAAAACCAGAATGATGCATAGCTCTAAAAGACATGAGTACCACAAACTGACGATAAAGCTACTAACACAATAAAAACATGTTTTTGATAAACAATGTCCACTGTATTAGTCACTTTCCCATCATGGGGACAAAATACCTGGCACCTACAATTTAAAGGCGAAGCTTAGCTAGGCTCACAGCTTCCCAGGGTTCAGTCCATGGTATGCTGCCTCCAAGGCAGAAATGGCACAGTTCACTGAATGGCACCCAGGCAGCAAGTTGGGGAGACAAGAATACATCTTTCAGGTCATACCTTTAGTGATCGATCCCCTAACACCAGGCCCCACCTCTATTTATTTATTTATTTATTTGTTTTTTGTTTTTTTTGTTTTGTTTTGTTTTGTTTTTTCCCCGGTACTGGGAATCAAACTCATGACCTTGCACTTGCCAGGCAGGCACTGTGCTGCTGAGCTAAATCTCCAGCCCCTAAGCTGCACCTCTAAATGTGAGACTTTTGGAGAACATTTTAGATCTAAACCATAATATGCACCTTCCAGTTAAGTAAAGAATCTGGATGGGCTGAGGATATGGCTCAGTGATAGAGCTCTTGCCTTGCACACACAAGGCCCTGGGTTTGATCCCCAGCACAAAAAAAAACAAAAAACAAAAAACAAAAAACAAAAAACTGGAAACTAGTTGTAACCATTTGTTTTGAGTAAGGAAGACTCTTCAGTGTATATTTTGTGAACTACAGCAGGATAGCTCAGAGCACAGGTGTCTTGGTTACTTTTCTCTGCTGAGACAAAATACCCAACACCCCAAATTAAGGAAGGAAACGTTTATTTAGCTCACAGTTTGTGGAGGTTTCAGGCCATACTCAGCTGGCTCCAAGGCAGAGAGGTGTGGCAGCGGGCAACAGTTCATGGCAGTGGAAAACAGCAAAAGCAACAAGAGCAAAAGGGCAGGGGTGGGAGGGGAGGTAGCAGAAGGGGGGACCTCTTTTCCTCCTTTATGTTATAATCAGGCGACCCCCAGCCAGGGGCCCTGTAGCACTCACATAATCTCCATGCCCTCCTCTTGCACAGGCTCAGGATGATACAAAGTGAGGACCCTGGGCCCCTGCTCAGTGACTTAGTTACTCTTTTAAACTTCTCAAATTGATGCAGTGAACAACATCCCTGAGGGGCGAGGCCCTGTCCTTTTCACCTTTTCAGGATGCAGAACTGCTAAGTCACTTAGGCAAGCCTCTAGACTCAAGTTGACAAAATGTATCAAGCATAATAACAGGCTTCTGCACCTAATTTGTTTCTATTGTTTTTGGTTCTTGTGTAGAATGGCATTCATCTGTGATTAACTCTAGTGATGCAACAGGTACAGTAAACACTTAGTTTAATACCTGTAAAGCATTCAACTGACACACAACCCTCCAGAGAATGTTGGTACACATTATTCAAGCCCAAGGGCCTATTTAGTTCTTTCATACTTTTTTAGGTTCACAGCAAAGCAGTAGAAAGTTTCAAATATCCCCCGCCCATATGCAGTCTTCTCCACTATCAATGTCTCCCACCAGGGTGGTACATGTGGTTCCTGCACATTCAAATTGAGCTACTCACTTTTCCTTAGTGAGTAGTGAATACAATGCCATTGTATGTATGTCTCAGTTTACTTATCCATCCACCTACTAAAACTCATCTTGGTTGCTTTCAAGTTTTGGCAATTACGAAAAAAGCTGCCGCAAACATAGGGTACAAGTTTTTGTGCAGACTGAAGTATTTCACGCATTTGGATAAATAACGACTGTTTACTGCATCACGTGGTAAGAATGTTTATTTTTTTAAAAACTGACAAACTATCTCCCAAAATGGCTCTACCACTTTGCATTCCCACCAGCAGAGAATGAGTTATTTTCCACTGCCTTGCCAGAATGTGTTTACTGCTTTGGCTTTTAGCTATTCTGCAATCTGTGGTGGTATTTCACTATATTCTTTGTAATTTTTGTGAATTGCAACATTTGGGAGATAAATGGTATATAATGGGACTTTTAATGAAAACTATGTATATGTGGCTGAAAACCTAAGCAAGTATTTGTTTTTCTAAACTCATTTCAGTGTATTATTTTGTCCCTCAATATGTCTTTAATGAACTAGGGTCACAAGTTTTCCAACTACACTTTGTATAGGAAGGAAAACAGAACTGCATAAAGCAAGTGAAACTGCAGAGGAGTAAGAGGAAAATCAATTACTAAATCCCAACTTTGCTAGCTACGTAAAACTGAAGTTGGCGACACAATGTCACACTGCAGAGTCCTTGGATGTAAGAATATTAATCAAGTCCCGGTAGAGAAAGGAAAGCAGAGGACAATTTCTCCAGGTTCGTAAATTAGCAAGCAGAGGCTGGAATCTTAGGGGAGCTGTTACTGGGATCACTCTGCCCAGGCCTTGGGATTCCTTAACAAAGTCGGATCTTATGAAGACCCGGAAGACTGGCCTGGGCCGGGCTTCACCTCCATCTCGGCGTTCTCTAAACGCTCTTCAGGCAAGCACAGCGGCCACGCGGAGGCCGAGGCTGTGCCTCCCGCGGACTGTGGAAGGCACTCTCGCTCGGCGCTAGGTCTTAGCACGACTGCACACAACATCCTCGTCCTTGCTACTGCAGCAGCAAGCTCAAGCTACAGCTCATCTCCAACCAACCAACAACCTCCTACACCTTCAGCCTGAGACTTCTCTCGCGCTCCACTCGGCCGGAAGTGACGCCACGGCGCGCGGGCGGGGCACGGAGAGGTACAGCTCACTTCCGGCTCCCGTGGCGCTCGCTCTTGCCCGCTGCAGCCGCTGTGGCCGCGGCCGCTTCCTCCATCCTGGTATTTTTGGAGCCTCCATCCTGGTTCTTCCCAAGTGCCCGGACCCAAAACAGGAAGTAAGTGCGATGGAACCCTCAGGTCCCGGCCGCGGCCGCTCCGCCCCGCCCGCTGCCCGGCCCCTTCCAGC